AGCTGCACTCGCTCTGACCGAAGCCAGACAGTCCCGCTTCTCCCCTTTGAGTCTGGGTCCCTAAAGACTCGCCCGGATCTGGAGCTCAGAGTCTGCGACTCCCTCCCGATTGAAAACGCCAACCGCGCCCTCCGCCGCCAGCCCGCTCCGCGCACTCCGCACCTCAGAATTTGACTTCAGCACTGCGCCTCCTCTGAGTGTCCGTATGCGTTTCTCTTTCCTCCTAGTTGTAGGACTTCCACTCAGCCAGCGTTCCTGTAGTTCTGGGTGATGTCCCTTCCGTTTTTTGGTTTCACTTTTGAAGTAGTTGTTCAAAGCAGCAAACTCCGGCGTTAACCTATGCCGCCATCTTGGTTCTCCTCTATAGTGGGTTTTTTTGTTTTGTTTTGCTTTTTGCCAGTCTGACAAAAAGTGTAGGTATAATTTTGATCATTCACACTGGACGGCTATTGTTGTGTTGGCTGTTGTCATTTTTTTATTTGAAAATCTAAGGGAAAAGAGGTCAGTGCCACTGGCTAAATAGTCAGGTATTGCATGTTTTAAAAATTCTTGCAGCACACCGGTTAGAAAAGCACTATTCTTATTTCCCAAAAGTTTACCCAGAGAATCAATTTGAGAATCAAATTATCTCTTCAGAGTCAATCATTTCTCAAGAATAACTCTCGCCCTGACCGGTTTGGCTCAGCGGATAGAGCGTCGGCCTGCGGACTGAAGGGTCCCAGGTTCGATTCTGGTCAAGGGCATGTACCTTGGTTGCGGGCACATCCCCAGTGGGGAGTGTGCAGGGGGCAGCTGATCGATGTTTCTCTCTCATCGATGTTTCTAACTCTCTCCCTTCCTCTCTGTAAAAAATCAATAAAATACATTTTTTTTTAAAAAAAAGAATAACTCTTAAGAATAAATAATAATAATAAAGTACTTGTTTGTTTGATTTCTGGCCAACTCGGTGCCTTTTAGTTGGGAAGTACTAAGTTAGCTATTGCCTATAATCTAGACAGGGCTCAAAAGAACATCCACATTGGGACCTCCAGCCTGAGTCGACAAATACAGGTTCTACCACTTGGGCAAGTCATTTTATCTCAGTCAATATCTCTGAGGTTAAAAGTCTTGCCTAAAAATATAGGGGAAATTATGCCCACTTAATAGATTTGCTGTGAAGGTTAAAGAATGTGTGGAAAGTGCCTCGCTCAGCATCCAGAAAAGTAAGTGTTCCGTAGCTGTTAGCTGCTGTTCCTCCCCGCTCACAGCTATTCCCATCCCAGCTTTTGCTTTGCTTTTCCTCTCACACTGGGTTGCTGCTGTACTGTTTCAGAATGTAGAGAAAATGGGTGGGCTAGCTGATGTGGCATGGGATCAGTGATTTTCCTAGAGAGCAGTTTGAGCAGTGGCTTCTTTCCCATGTCCCTCCTGGCCTGTTTGCCAAGGGCTTACACCCCTGGGTAATTTCTTTACCCTTTATCTTCTCCATTTCCCCCATGAATGCAGTTGAGGAACCAAAAGTTAGTTTCACTTTTGGTGGCTGTCCATCTTCTTCTGCCCTAATTCCCAACTTTCCTTTTGAACTACAACTTGTGAAGTGATAGTTCTTTTCTAGCTCAAGATAAGACACACAATGAAAATGATGCCATCTGCTGGAGTACTAGATTTTCTTTGCTTGGGTTTCAAAAGACGGTTTGCATCAAGATTGAGGTCTGTTATTCCTCCTTGCTAAGTAGAGTACATGTCCTAGCATGCCAGGGTTCTCAAATGATTTGTTTTTCTCTTTGTTCCTTCTGAGCCTGCATCTTTGAAAGAGACCAAAGTGTAAATAAAAGAGACCAAACTTTAAAAGAGACCAAACTCTGAGTAAGAAAGTACCACATTCTCATCACTATAGTATGTGTGAACTCATTGTACATCTCTACTTTGCAATTTTTCATTTCTAAAATGGGACTGATAATTCCTGAACTTTGACCTTACCAGATTGTTATTGTAAGATAAGGGATGCAGCCCAACCTGTGTTGCTCAGTGGTAGAGCATTGACCAATGCACCGAGAGGTCGCCAGTTCATTCCTAGTCAGGGCATATGCCCAGGTTGTGGGTTCAATCCCACATGAGCATGCAGGAAGCAGCCCATCTATGTTTCTCTTTCATTGATGCTTCAATCTCTCTACCTCTCCCTTCCTCTTTCTGAAATCAATAAAAATATATTTAAAAAAAAAAAAAAAAGTAAAGGATGTGGTTGGTTGGAGCATTGTCCTGTACACCAGAAAGGTCGAGAGTTCTGTCCCCGGTCAGGCGCATCTGGTGGATGTATCTCTCATCTCTCTCTCTCTCTCTCTCTCTCTCTCTCTCTCTCTCTCTCTCTCTCTCCCCCACACACACACTCCCCCCTTCCTTCCCTGCCTTCCTCTCTTCCTCTCTTTCTAGAATCAATGGAAACATATCATCAGGTGGTGATTTTTTTAAAAAAAAAGGCCTGGCTGGTGTGGCTCAGTGGTTGAGCGTTGACCTTTGAACCAGGAAGTCACAGTTCAATTCCTGGTCAGGGCACATGCCCAGGTTGTGGGCTCAATCCCCAGTGTGGGGCATGCAGGAGGCAGCCGATCAATGATTCTCTCTCATCATTGATGTTTCTATCTCTCCCTCTCCCTTCTTCTCTGAAATCAATAAAAATAGATTTTTTTAAAAAAGATAAGGGATGCAGAGAGCTTGATAAACTAGTGCTACTTGGATGTAAGAAAGTATTATTACTCTCCTTCCTCATTTATTTTTCCAGGTTGGGCCAGGCTTTGGGGGAATGGGCACCAGACTCTGCATTTGCTCATTTACTTCCCCAGGCCCCTGCCGTACCTAAGGGGCAGAGCCTGTGAGACTCCTAAGCCCATATAGTCTGTGATGGGCTTCCATGATCTTGGCACCCAGGAAGGTGCAGTACCATAAGCCAAACCTTTGATTTGCCAACTCTCAGCTCCTCCCAGTCATGGTTCCTATAGCTTGGTAATGTGGGCCTAGGAAGCTTCCCCTCTCTCTACTCTATTGGAGACTCCAAAATTTTTTTTTGTTTAATCTCCTCTCAAAACTTTGGCTTATCTGCCATAGATACATAGCCAAACTGTCAGAACATTCTGGGAGTTCTCTGAAATGAGAGGGTAATACAATACTTCTAGCTACCCCTGAGTGTCTACCATGTATCAGGTACTATAGTTGGAATTTGTCTTGTGTAATACTCATAGCATCCTTTGAAGTAGATATTTATTACTTGCAATTTACTAGAAAGAAAACTAAGGTTCAAAAAAATCTCCTGTTTCAAGTCACATAGCTAGTAAGTGATCATCATGCCAGGAGGCCTCTAGCACTATATAGGAAGAGGGACTGTATGCTACAGAGGAAAATTCAGATTTCCAGTCCCGTGATCTACATGCAGATCCCAACCCTGCCTGTGGGATCTGGGGCAAGTGGCTTTCAGCTTCTCCAGCCACAGATACTATCTCATTAAATCTTAATCACAGCCATGTGACCTTTCTCTTGCCCTTTTTTTTTTCTTTTTTCTATTATCTGTTTACATTTGAGGAAACTTGGTAAAGGTGAAATAATGTGCCCAAGGTTACAGAATAGTAAGTGGCAAAGCCAGAGCTCAAGTCTCTAACGCCTGGTTTGGTGTCTTTCCTCTCTCTCTCTCTCTCTCTCTCTCTCTCTCTCTCTCTCTCTCTCTCTCTCTCTCTCTCTCTCTCCCTCTCTCTCTCTCTCTCCCCCTCTCCCTCTCCCTCTCCTTCTCCCTCTCCCTCTCCCTCTCCCTCTCCTTCTCTCCCTCCTCACTGCCAGCTCCTAAGACCTGGTGCATCACTCAGGCAAACTCACAGCTTTCAGGATGCTGGTTGAAAGCCTATAGGAGCAGGAGCTTCGTGTTCTTCTGCTCTGTTTCTTTCTCTTCCCGTAATCTCTCCTTAGAAACCTTACTAAGGCAATATAAACATTTACAATTCAAGAAGGTTGATGCAAAGCTGAAAAACTGCCCAGCGCACCCCACAAAAGCCTAGGAACCTGCCTCCCATATTTTATGTGAGTTTGTGCTGTTACTCTGGCAGCAAGGTGTAGTGCAGGGGTCCTCAAACTACGGCCTGTGGGCCACATGGAAATACAATTATTGTATTTGTTCCTGTTTTGTTTTTTTACTTCAAAATAAGATATGTGCAGTGTGCATAGGAATTTGTTCATAGTTTTTTTTTAAACTATAGTCCGGCCCTCCAACGGTCTGAGGGACAGTGAACTGGCCCCCTGTTTAAAAAGTTTGAGAACCCCTGGTGTAGTGGGTAGTTTTGAGGAAGTTCTTCCTTAATTTTTTATCAATAAAATCATATAAGATTGTTATGAAGGTTAGAGATGATAAATATTCAAGGGCAATAAAATAATAAAATAAAATAAAATTCAAGGGCAGCAGGTAGAGCCTTACTAACTGATGGCAGTTATTTACCCTGGCAGCAGGAGCTAATAGAAACCAGACTGGGAGTCAGGAGTCCTACATCTATTACTCTCTTAGCCTGTGACCTTGGGCATGTGAGGCACTCTCTAGGTAGACTAGGTGGTCTCTAAGGACTCCTTTCAGCTTCAATATCTGCTTTTACAAATGAAAGTAATAAATGCTTGTTTTAAAAAAATCAAATTGGGCAACTATCTGAAGTAAAAAGTGAAAGACCCCAATACATTCCCAAGGTAATACTTGTTACTACTTTATGTGCCTTCCACTGTTTTCTGTGTATTTGAAATATATACAGGCACATGTAAATATACATATGCACATTGTATGGTATGTATGTTAAACACACTGGAATCTAGAATACATACTGTAGCAGGACTTGATCCTTTACTTGCTTTGGGCATTTTTTCTTGTTAATACTTGAAGATATAATTTATTTTTAATTAATATTTTGTATATCAAGTGGTACTCTAGTGATCACATGTCATGATTTTTAAAGGCAAATATACATACACAATGTTGAATTTTTAAATTTTCTTTTTAGGAAAAGAAGAAAAAGAAACATAGAGACAGGAAGTCATCTGACTCTGACAGCTCAGACTCTGAGAGTGATACAGGCAAGAGGGCAAGGCACACATCGAAGGACAGCAAGGCGGCGAAGAAGAAGAAGAAGAAGAAGAAACACAAGAAGAAGCACAAGGAGTGAGAGCAGAGTAGAGGGGGCGGCTGAGACGAGGGGCCCGGGAGCTTGTGCCTTGCAGCCCTGGCCCCTAGAAAGACTCAGTAGTGAGAATATGGCCTCCCACCCCATGACTCTCCCACTGGGAGACAGCTTCCTCTCATGCTGCAGGGAGCCAGATGTCAAAAGCATCTGCCTGAATGAGTTGTTGTTTCCTTGTCACTCCTGGTCCATTTGCAAGTGACCCCTGCAGCTCACCCATCCATTCACCCAACTTCCTTCATTCAGCAGGAGGTCCTTTTACCCTCTCCAGTTGTCACTGCCAGAGCCTGATTCCTATAGGAGTCCAGGCTAGAGCCAGTTACTGCTGTGGAAGGGAGTCTGGCTGTAGTTCAAGTGTGACAGGCCCCTCTCTGTTGGTTCACCCTGGGCTGATTGGTGGGTGATTTCTGCTGTATCCAACACAGTGGCATGGAGGGAGCCTGGCAATCTGAGGGAGAACATAAGAAGTGGTGCTCACTCTTTCCATTCCCCCCTAACATGATTCTGCTATGCTAGAAGTGACAGCCAGTGTTCCGCAGCCAGAAACCATTGCAGTGACTGAGCTTGTGTGTGACATTCTGCCAGACCACCAAACCAGACAGCCCGAGCTAAGATCATTGCTTTACTTTGTGTTTAATACTATGAGTCAATGGATTCCACTTCAGGTTCCTGCTTAAATGCCTGGCACTAAATGGAAGTGTGTTTGGTTTTAAACTTACTGAAAGTTCTTATTGCTATTATACCTCTTCCCAGGTAACTTACAGATGGAGAAGTCACTGAGTCTACAAGTTGACAGAAAAACATTTAATATGTAACTTTAGACTGTGGAGAAAGGTCTGCTGAGGTTCAGAGCCAGATGTACTAGCAGGTCACAGCCTTCTTATCACTAATAAGCCCTCCCTTTTGTAATCAGATGACCTCTTCCCTCTGAGCTGATTAGAGAACCAGTGAGAATTTACAACTGGGAGTAATGGCCTGGGCATTGGTGGGAGCTCAGCAGTCATCTTGGCCAGTGGGCATTTTTTCCCACCAAAATGGCACAAGCCTGGATCCATTGTCCTGAGCCTACATTCTGGAAAAAGAGACCACAGCATTGCAGAGAAGGGCAACTGTCCAGACCCAAGGGCATTCAGTGCAAGTGGCCCAAGGTGATAGATAGTCCAGTAGCCAAGCTTGGGGAAGCCCTGCCACTGATGAGTCCGGGTTGGACTAGCTCATTTGGCCATGGGGAGGAAGTAAAGGCAAGGTATAGGTACAGCTGTTCTATTATTGTATGTGTAAGGCGGTCAGCTACCACCGTCCCAGAGACTGTCCATTTCAGTGTCATCCAGTGCTTCTTCCTGAGTGACCTTCAGGCAGGCGTTTCTGCCCACTTTCAGACACGGGGGAACAGACTCATGGAGTCATGTCACCAAAGGCAAGAAGGCAACTGGGTGGCCTTGGCTCTGCTTTATTGACCTCAGAGCACTCTTTGGATGCAGTTAAGACACAAACACAATGGGAATTGGAACTGTATCCAGGATGGTGCACCTGACCCCAGAAGAACTTCCCCCCCAAGGTGGATTTATACAAAACGCCAGAGGAAAAGACGAGGCAATCTGGTGCTGAGTCCAGGGGTAGCCAGCTGGCAGCGGAACAGTCAGTGAAGCAGTGGGCTGGTCATGCCTCCTTCTCGTAAGTGCGCGTACACACTACATTGCCGTGGGTGAGCGTCTGGAAGGAAAGAGAGAGTCCGATTGTGGCAGGGATGAGGGAACAAACCTTAGAAGCACTCCATTTATTGACTGCCTACTATATGCCCAGCACTTGACATACATATTTTTTCTAATACTTACACCAGGTCTCTAAGTTACACATATGATCTCTCTTTTAGAGATTTGGGAAAATGAGTTTTGAGAGGAAGTTGGTCAAGATCTAGAGTGTTTCTCTTTCCCTTGCACCATTCTTCTCCCTTCATCCTTAATGCCTATGATGGCGCCTAGCATGTTGTGTCTACACAATAGGTGAATGCAAATATTCAGAGACTCTTAGGGAAGGGCTGTGCTAGGCCACCAACCTCCTTTCCTTCTCTAACTTGGGTAATCCCAGGGCCAGAGTCCTAAGCCACCACCATCCAGCCTGGCATAAAGCCAATCCCATGGTCTCACCATAGCTGATTGCCCAGGGAGTATTTGGTCCTGCATATTACATCTCTGCCAGAGGTAGGCACCTCATTCTTAACTCTGCAAGAGCCCTGCTCTGTGTGAGTGCAGGAATGCACTGACCCACGAAGATCTGCCATGAAGTGCAGAGTGAAATCTGAGGCCCCATGGAATTAGGACATAGAGACCAAGGCTGGCTGCTGTCTCTGTCCCCAGGTCTGAGGGTGTTCATTCAAGTCTACATTCTCCAAGTGAGACCCCCAGATTTGTTCCTGAACAGACAGATCTGCCAGCCTGTCACTTCCTGCCAAGTTCATATTCAAGTACTTGCAGTAGGCCAGGCATGAAAAGCACCGAGAGGAGGTGGGGCTGGAATGAGGTGTGCCGTCAGTGCCCCACAGGTCACCAGCCTGTTACTGCCCAAAGGCTGGCTGTACATGTGGCGGCACAGTCCTAGGGAGGAGAGGGAACGCTGTGATGGAAGGTGGGAGCCTTTCCTAGGGACTTGGGGTCACATCTGGCCCTGCTTTCTATCTCTGGGGCGAGGCAAGGCAGCAACACAGGAAACTAAGGCTGTGGAGCATCAGCTGTCTCCCTCCCATGTCAGTGATGCTTTGTGCTCTGCGTCCACGGTCTTATTCAGACTTCCCAGCAGCCCTCCAGGGTTGGTGTTGCTATTGTGGCAGTTGGACTTGAAGATGACTTGTCCAAAGCCATAACAGCCTATAAGTTGAGATTTGAACCTAGGCCTGAGATGTGAGTCCAAAGCACTACACAGAAAATTCCCACCCACTGTCACCCCAGCATGTTCACCCTCCATCGTCCCAGCTTCCAGTGCTGCCAGGGGGAGACCTTGACTTTTTATGACATGCTTGGCTGAAGGGGCAGCAGTAGTAACCAACTGGGAAAGGCTCCAGAGTTGTCCATCTTACCAGGATGAGTTTGCCATCCACGAGCTCCCGCACAAGTTTTGTTTCTTGCCCATCCCATTTCTGCACGTGGACAAGTTTGCCTCCATCCAGCGTCACGGTGGACTGTGGAAACAGGGTAGAGGCCTGAGCTGTAATCTGAGTCAGGATTGAGGGACAGCATGGGGTCTGGTCCCTGGGCCAGAGGACTTAACCTCTGGCCCAACTAATGATGGTGCTACGCCCAGAGCTCAGGCAGCCCACCTCCAGTCAGCCCTGCAGGATATCCAGCTTGCCTCCAGCCTCTGCTCCAGTACTGCCTGGCTGGACAAGTAGAGAGGCAGGCAGTGTGGCGGAGCCAGACAGCCTGGCTCTGAAAAGCGCCATCAGTGTTCTGATGGGCATTTATCCTGTATTCTAGGTGATGCCACAGCCCCAGTGTCCCTAAGACAGGGGCATGTGCCAACCCATATCCCTGGGAGAGACTGGCAAGGAGAGTCCTCAGACTCCAGCCTAGTGATCACATATAACGTCTAAAAGACCCTTGGGGTTGAGGGGTATTAGAAAATTAGGCCCCTGCTCTTTATTCCCACCCCTCTTCTTGGTCCACATCATGTGACCCTTTCAGCTGACAAGTGGGCAGCAACTGCCAGGGCCTGGGACTAGGTGCCCTTGTAGTGTCCCACAGCCCTGGCCAAATGCCCACTTAGTCTTCTGGGTACTACCAGCCTGCATCAGCTGGTTCTCACTTGGCAGCTCTCCCATTCTCTCCTCTAGGAATTTGGGGAGGTCTCGGCCAGGCTAAGGGACCCTGGCTGAGCAGAGTTCAGCAGAAGAATCTGAGAAGGTTGTGTACATATGTTGGGGGATGGGGGGTGCTGGTGATACATGCTCATTCCCAGTTCCCTTAGTTTTTGCCCACTCAGCAAATTATTTTTAGCCGGGCATCCCAGGGAACTACTGTTGTCTTTAGTTGGGGTTCTTGCCCCTCGAGGTGGGCTAGTTCAAGGAAGTACAGGCATGTGGTAGGGGCAGCCACTTCCCAGACGGGCTGCATCTTTGGGCACCATCCCACTTCTGCTGTCAGCATCCCCTGCAATTCTGGGCTGAGCTCCATCTTCCTCCACAGGGAAGAGACCAGATCCTTCCCGGGGCAGCGATGAGGAAGGGAAACGGCTGAGGGCTGAATGTGAGTCTGTAGAGGCCAAAGGCCCTTAGTCCTCTCTCCCATGCCTAGCCCAGGGGAGGCCTGAGGCAAGCTGCCAAGAAAGAGCCACTGCAGCCCTAGCTGGTTTGGCTCAGTGGATAGAGCAGTCAGCCTGCAGACTGAAAGGTCCCGGGTTCAATTCCAGTCAAGGGCACATGCCTCAGTTGTGGGCTTGACCCCCAATAGGGGGCGTGCAGGAGGCAGCCAATCAATGATTCTCGTTGATGTTTCTATCGCTCCCTCTCCCTTCCTCTCTGAAATCAATAAAAATATATAAGAAGAAAAGAAAGAGCCACTGTAGGGTGACAGCCCTGAGGATGTGGACTAAGGCCTGGTCAGAAGACACTACAAACACATCCAGGACAATGCCCTGTCCGGATCATAGCTTGTCCTGCCTGTGGACTGGCATGGCAGCATGGGAAATACTTCTTCAGGGTCACTGGCCAAGCCCTGGAGGTGGGAGTTGGGGAAGAGGAAGCATCTGAGTAGGTCTCTCTCCTTGTCCCCAGCTTCCTCCCTTGCTGCTGGAGGCCAGGATGACCTGTTAACTCAGTGGAGGGCCCTGACTTCTGGGCATCATTCCTAAAGCACTTGAGGTAACAGCCATGGCCACACCACTCCCCCCCCCCCCCCCCCCCATCTTGGAAGAGGAAAGGAACCCGGAGTGACGGCATGTCATTCACAAGGTCACCCAGCTGGAGCGGGAGTAGACACTGAGGTCAGAACTGGCTCTGCTGCCCACTCCGAGAGGCAGCTGGTGGATGCTTCCCAAAAACGGAGGAAAACGAGAACAGGACTAATGCACTTAGCACTGGAACATTCTGGCACTGTAGAGGCTTTAAGGCTGTTTATTTCAATCCCCCACTGCAATAATAGTCTCCAAGACTACCAGCTCATTCCCCTTCAGGTTCTCAGCGTTGTGCACTCCCCATGCCCCCTCCTTGACTCACCTTGACCTTCCTGTCATCTGCCGTTGTCTCGTCAAACTCCACCCCCAGCTTGAAGCTGATCTCTGTGTTCTTGAAGGTGCTTTGTGTTTTTAGGGTGATCGTGTCCCCATTTATTTCGATGATTGTGGTAGGCTTGGTCATACTGGCCACCTGCCTGGTAGCAAAACCCACACCTGAGAGCAGAGGGAAGGTTATGAGTATGAGCCGGAGGAGAGAGGCGGGGTACAAGGAACTCAATGAACAGCTCAGGCTGGACGTGGGAAAGAGGGGAGAGCATGAGGACCTTCCGAGACTCTGTATGGTCTTTTAAAAAAATTATTCAGTCTTATGTGGTGAAGAGACACTGTTGATCTCATTAGACAGATCAGAACTTAAGGCATTATGCAGCAAGTTGGTGGCAGAGCTGAGATTAGAATAAGTTATTAAGTGCTTTCTGTGTGGTAAGAACTGCATATGTGTTCTCATTCAATCCTGCAGTCTTCCTGAAGGGTTGGTTTATTATCTCCAATTCA